AGCCCTTCACAACAGAGCCAAGTTAACATAAGTGTGTTAAATTGTAGTTAAGAGCAAAAATGATATGAAATAAAAGCCTGGTGAGATTTGATCTGCCAAAATGCTGGCAGCCGGTGATCAGCAGAAGTAGCCTGCAATACTGCACTCTAGCCACTGTGCCACTGTGGCTCAAATATGTTAAAGATAACAAATTGGGCTGTAATACTTCACCACATTCTGTTCTTAACTACAATTTAACACACTTATGTTAACTTGGCTCTGTTGTGAAGGGCTCTACAATTATTTTAAAGATTAATCTTTCCCATACAACCAAATTTACACCTTTCTCTGGCAGATTCTTCTGCAAGACCAAAAGGAGGAGCTTTGGGGGACAACACACAATCTGAGCAACACCTCCCCCCCCCAGCCCCCTTTTGAAGTCAGCTTTCCTGGTGTGAATGCTTTGATTTTCCCTAGCTTTTAAATTTATAATATACTTTTCTAAATTAAATGCAAAGAACGTTTGTGCTGGGAAAGCAGATTGGTGCATGTAAATAAAAAGCCTGGGAGAACAAGAACTACATTAGAATTTTGTTTTAAAAACAGACCTTTATCCCACAAAGAAAAAGGGGAATTGTAAGGAAAGTGGGAAAGTGCCTCCTACCTGCAAGCATACAGCATGTTAGACATGAAGGTGACAGGATTAGTGCTGCGAGATGTGTCCATCACATAAACCACCACCGATGGGAAAGAGGAAGCCTAAATAGACATTTCAAGATTATTGTTAACAAAGCAAAGCGTGTTTCCCCCATCCTTAATTAACTCCCAACATCAGATGAATAGAAGTCACTAACCAGGGCTTCTGTGATGATAGTGCCAGAGGCAGACCAAGTAAACACTTCAATCTGCCCAGGTGTATCTATTAGGACATACCTGCAAGAAAAAAAAGATTTGATCTCTCACACACTCAGAATATACAGAAGACATTTTATTCAGATTGCGCACACAGGAGCTAGACAGTAGTGTATACTTCTCCACTGCTGTCTCTGAAATTCAAGACAGAGCCACTACCCACAGAGACAAGAACCGAATCCAGGTTTAATTATTATTTCTTTTCAAAACAAAGGATGAATTTATGAACTATTCTCTTTATCAAATCAAAATAAATGATCATTTTAGTCCAAGACCGCTGTTTTAGGAGTGACGAGGCATAATTAGTTGCTCAAAGAAATATTTCTAAAATATTTCACATGCCACTCCGGCCCTGTTTAAATCTTTTTTTTAATTCGTTTAGGAATTGAAAGTACTGAGCACTCATTTCAAAATATTCCAAATCACACAAAAAAATAAAACCCACCAAATGTTTACACCTGTGTGAGGGGAAAAAATGTGGGACTACTCTCAGTATTTTGTGATTGAACATGCAATAATTTCAAATGTATCCATAGCTTTCCAAAAAAGTTGGAAAACCCCATCATTTGTTAAGTCATCACAATTGATGGCTGAACCGCTTCTTTCCCAAAGAGGACTTGTCACATGCTTTGCCAGTATTTGAATCTCATTTTAAAATAATGCTGAACACCAGCTTTTTCACCATGCCTTAGTTTTAGAACCCTGGGTCCCTTTGATATACCCATCCAAATAGGCTTTTGACATGTTGGGTATTTGAGAATATACCATTTTAAATTCTAATTCTAGACCTAGAATTCTGAGCAATATCACCTGATTATTTCTTCTAATTTACTGTTTTGTCATTTTATCATTTTGTGAGTTTCTTCTAATTTACTGTTTTGTCATTTTATCATTTTGTGAGTTTCTTCTAATTTACTGTTTTGTCATTTTATCATTTTGTGAGTTGCACGTTAA